ACTGTAACTTTTCGGGGACACACATGTTGTCCTTTATTGCACAGCTTTTCTTGAAAACTTAAGAGAATAGTGTGATCTTTTTTGTTTACTAAAATTAATTTAACAAAATAAAATGCCTAAAAGAAGATTACTTTGTTACCATATTAACACGCGTGACTAGATGATAAATATATACAGTAATTGGTTAAGTTTAAATGATCTAAAGTAGTATAAAATCAAGACATTCCAAATTTTAAATCATAACACATGTGTAAGAAAGAAAGTAACATAATTAGTATTTATCTTATCGTAATTCATCCTTAATTTTTTGTTTTTCATCCTTAATTTAGTTCTTGGTAGAGCTTATTATAACTTCGAGATTAAAAAACCTTACATTGGGCGTTCAAAGCCAAATATAGCTCTCGTAGGCGATGGTAGAGATGTCACCATTCTCACCGGAAAATTGAGCAACGCAACCAGATAGTCCATCGTGAAATCCGCCACCCTTGGTAAAATATTTCACCTTTATTATATCTTCATTTGTTGACTAACACCCCGTTTGATACAACTATAGCCGCCGAAGGAACCTTGATTTATGTATGTATATGTAATGATAAGTGAGAAGATTTATTTCGCTCCCAACAATAAAAGAACACAACCATACAAGCATCAGTCCTCCGATCATAATCACCATCATCGACCGTGAAATTCGTAACATCATCAACTCACCAAGGCATAGAAAACGTTGGGGGTGATCTAATGTCCCTATGGATTAGATAACATCACTCTTATCAAACCCAACTTGATTGTAACCAAATTTTTAACTTTTTTGTGTGTGTGTTGGTTGCTCTATTTGTAGATATTACAATCCTTGTAAAACCTAAACATTTCATTTTCTAATGATATTTACAATTTAGCAAAAAAAATAATAAAATAACAAAAACTTTTTTTTAAAGAACAGTAGAATATATAACATGCAACAAGATTGTTTGAACATTTCACATATAAAAAGATGAAGTTTGTATGCGTTTCCCCTGCAGAGACTCCATTCGCTAAGACGTCCAAAGAGCATGCAAAGGCGGTATCTTTGGGTAAGCCAGAGGTGCAGCAGAGAAGATGCTCTTCTTGTCCACAGCCACAAATTCTTCCAACAATGTTACCAGAACTGCAACGCGCATTCCCCGCTAGACTCGGCTCTGTGTAGTTATCGTTCACACGAACGTCGTGGAATCCGTCATCTGTATCCGGTCCAGACAAAGCAACATGTTGACCACTCGGTCACGAAGATAAGCGTGACAACTCGGGCTTCTCACTTAAATATGCAACATAACATCAAACTCGGATCTCACACAGATCAAGAGAACAATAAAGACATTACTAGGGCGTCTATGGAGGGTGTATCCAAGAGTGGTAGTTCTACAATCGTTCATCGATGATCTTATTGATCTGACAGGCTGGACTCCTTGAAAGGACGACATTAGATTCTCCACTTGTTTTACGACGAATACAAAAACACCGGTCCATGAGCGGATACAAGCAAAAGGACCAATTGGAAAGGATTTTATGTGATTACGAATCCGAAAGAAACGGCTAAATTCACAAGGGTAGAATTATTATACGGAGAATTGTGACTTAAATAAAAGACCTTACATTTGTTTGTAGTTTCCGATTATGGTATTTGCATAAAAGCAATGAAACTATACCACATATCTTATGAAACAATTTAACTAATAAATATCATCGTGAAGCAGCATCAAATCAAGTTTTAAATAAATTTGATGATAATTCATTTTTTGGCTACACCTATATTTATACATTACAATAGCAAAATATAGGCAAAACATGAACAATATTTTAGTTGGATCTCTAGTAATATATAGGCAAAACATAAGCAATATTTTTTTGGCTAGACCTATAAATATAAATTGTTTTGGAGGTTTTTTTTGTTTCAAAATATAAGTTATTTTGACAATTTTATGTATCTTTAATGTTATTGAATATTGTGTGACCCCTAGTATTTTGCAGTTTCTTTTATGATTGGTTACATTATTTTTATTATATAATATTGAATGATACTTTTTTAAAAAAAATTGTTTTTGTTTATTAATTCGCGCTCTTAGTTTATATTTTAAAACGGAAGGAAGATTAAATTGATAGTTGTACTGCATTAGTAAGTACAGTATACTCTCTTTGTATCACAATGACACAATATATGATGATGTTTAAGGTAATGACAC